GAGTTTAAATTTACGAGACATGTTTCGACATTCTCATGTCGTCTTCAGTTGCAAATGAGCTTTTAACGGTTGTACATTTGAGTTTATATTAAGGTACGTTACAAATTACGTGTCAGGGCTTACGTTTCAATTTGAATATTAAATACGTAAATAGCGCGCGCTTGACTAGATAAAAGAAAAATGATAATAATAATAAAATAAGAGACCAAGGAACAACGTAAAATTAAAATTTATCTCCTTAATTTAATTTAATTTATCTCTTTCCTTTTAATTACGTTGTTCCTTGGTCTCTTATTTTATTATTATTATTATTTATTTTTTTAATTTTTTTTATCTAGTCAAGCGCGCGCTATTCACATTTTTCGCGTATTTAATATTCAAATTGAAACATAAGCCCTAATACGTAATTTGTAACGTACCTTAATATAAATTCAAATGTACAACCGTTAAAAGCTCATTTGCAACTGAAGATGACATGAGAATGTCAAAACATGTCTTGTAACTTTAAACTCAAAGTTGTCGTTTCTTTTTGAGAGTAATGATCATTTTCTATGATATATCGAAAGAAATCTCGGAATAAGGAGCTATCAATATAGTTATAATATTCTTGAGGTCATCATTCAGAGAGAACAGTTGGTAATCCTTGTAGCAACAGGAAATGAGATAGAAATGATTTGTGTTAACATGACTCGGGATCAAGCTAAAAGACTCACGGAAGAGTAAACTCTTGAAACTCTTTGCTCAGTTGCTAGTACCAAAATTATTTTTGTTTCCCACCTGTTTCATCTTTCATCAAACTGATTGCTTTCTTGTTCTCTGAAGAGTTAATTATATCGTCTTTTGAAAAGTTAGAGGTATTGAACTTTGACCCTACGTCATTGGCTAATGTTTTTGTAAAAGTCTTCTGTTTTTTAATTGATACATTTACAAGTCCGTATCTCCTTCTCCATACTTGTCCTTGATATAGTTGTAACGTAATTCATACATAGGTGATTACTCAGGTTCAGAATGGACATTCCAAGATATAATGGCTTGTCGGAAAAAACTTTTAGTCTTCTGCATGTATTTTGCAATCAGATTTTCAGCGAAGATGACAGTGTGATCAAAATTAGCCTTGCTCGTAAACCTCTCAGTTGTCCTCCGATTCTTTATAAGCCTCATATCTACTCGGTTACTTACTCGAGTGAATTACAGAATTTTCTTTATCCTTCAAGTTGGGTATTGGCCTTTTGAGGAGCTAATGGATATTCATTATTAAGATCGTGCTGTTCTTTTGGGTATTCGAGATCAACTTCAAGCACATCCTTCCTCTCTCATGAATTTGTTTTTCAAGTTGATCTCAACGCATACATTCAAAACCTGATGTAGGGAGTGGTTGAATCATCTCATAAGCATAACCATGGAGGTTTCTTGCGTTAAGGTAACTGCTATTTTTCGAAAGTTGGTTCCCATAAAAGTTTGGTAAATACTTGTTAGCTTTAGCATACCTCTTTAACATCGTTCAAACTTCACCTCCTATATCTCTCTCAGACATCGATAGCTTGTTTGGATCACTGAGACAATCCAGAGAAATAGCAGGCTTTTTCAAGGCTGTATCCCAAGCAAAGCTGCTGCTGTGTAGTACCAAGCTGCACGAGCTTATAATTTTTTATACAAACTTTTGGAAATTTCTCGAAAACATCTGAAAGCTTAAGAGCGTCAGAAGCCAAATGTGAGCTTTTACAGTCCTCACGACAAGTACATCTAAGGGTGATGGAAACCACTGACCCCCAGTGGACTACTCTAATGAAGTACCCAAGTGGACCACCAACCACTTAGAGATTTGGGCGATTACTTTTAACAATTAAGGTCCTTCCTTAGAAAAATTGTTCGCAGTAATGTCACTTTCCTTGATATCTGTCATGAAGTAAGGCGAGAAATCGATAATGTTCATTGTTTCGTGCCTCAGTATTTGGACTGACGCATATATTTGTCATGTACAGCAGAGATTCTTCACAATAAGTCATTTCTAGATTCAATGATACATGTAGTTTACAGCAGCGTAATGCAAAGAGCACGGCATGTCGAATAACCTGACGCACCGCTACTTATTAAGAGTTAACGTATTTACTAGCGTAAAGAAGTTGAAGCTCGCTGACTCGAAGTCGAGGTTTGACTTTTAAAAGAAACCATCACTCAAAACTAAATAATTCCGCATAAAAAGTCTGAAGCTAACAAGAAATCTCAATACAGACTTTACATTAACTTCTTCATTCTCTCCTTTAGGTATGAAAGAGTGTACAGTTATTTTCTTTGAGAACGAGATAAATTTCTCTTCATTAGTCAACCTCACTCTTCCCCAACTTATTGATAAATAAATATGCGCGATAGTTGCTCAGGTTATGAAATATGATCGAGATTATCTTTGGCTTCTTGAATTTCAGATTAGTAAGTGTTGTGGGCTGCTCCTTTATAACACCAGCGGAATTACAACGATCTCTTACTTTATCACCCATCTCGAGGTGTTTCTCCCAGACATGGCAAACATTACCTTTTTCAAACGTGACCTTTTTAGACATCACCAGATTTGTGGGGTGTTTCGATTTTATCTCTCGTTACTTTTTCCGGTTCTCTCACGAAAATCTCAGAAATATAGTCGTCTTCTTTCCTTTGAAAACGATGACTGGATCCATCTAAAAACTCACTCACTCACCAAAATATGTTAGGAAATGAAGAAGCCTGAAGTATCACGTTGATGATACTATTGTGAAACTGCATTTGTTACTAGGTTACAGCAGTGTATTTTTTTCCAGGAACATTCAAAATCTGCATATTCTACAAATGGAGTATTCATCTTCCTATCCTAATTTTTGAAATATCACTATTCTTCTTTTTTTGGTAGGTGAACAACTCACCGTTCCTTTTCTTTGGAAACTTCAGTGTGGTTTTTTAAGAGCTTCTCCATTGAAATAGAGGTAAGGCAACGTTTACAAATACGAGCGGATTACATAAAATGTGATTACTCGATAGTTGTAACGATGCTAGCCTGCTCATTGTTTTGATTAGGAAATTCTGCTTCCTAACTTTGTCATTTCAAGAAAGTTCTATGGTGGTGGTGTTTTCTTTATTGTTAGGCATCAATGGGGGGAGGAAATCATGTTCAATTCCCAACGCATTCACGTTAATTCATAGTTAGAGACTTATCAATATCTTCAAATAGGAACCCTTCAAGTTTTACCTGATCAGCCTTTTTGGGTGGTGGAATATATTACAACCTTTTTCTGTTATAGTTGGCTATTTTCTCGTTGATTCCATCACTCGTCTTATCCTACTCTGATAACCCATCAGTTCTTCGATATAAACAACTACTCCCGAATGGAAATACTGTTTTTAATATTTGTTTGACTCTTATATTTCTTGAGTTCTGTCACTGTTACAAGCTGATTCAGACACAGAGTTATTTTCTCTTTTTACAGAAGAGCTTAGATAGGCTAAGAAATATTTTTAGGAAATTAAATTAAATTATAAATAAATCAATTTGAGGTAGTATAATGCCATCATATTGCTGGAAGAATTTTGGTTTTGGACCAATGTCTGTTAGGAAATGGAAAGGAGCCCCCTCCTTTCCAGTCTGCTAACGTTATACAGGACAGAGGTTGACTGTTAAGGACACTAGCCAAAAGGCTCATTTTTTGATCGATTATTTATTAGTTCACTAATTTCAGGATGATCTTAGATACGTACATAGTTACAGTATAGCGAAATATATGAAGTTCATATATTTTGAACTGCGGTATTAGATACGTATGATGCACGATCCTCGCAGTAGATAGCGCTATTTAAGCAATAGCGAAAATCAGACCTGAAAAAATTCAGGCCTGTACGGGATTCGAACCACTGACCTCTGCGATACTAGTGCAGCGCTCTTACCAATTGAGCTAACAAACCAACTGGGAGCAGGCCGTTAAGTTGATTCGTAATAAACCCGTGAAAGTGATAAAGCAGTACAGTGAAATATATGAAGTTCATATATTTTGAACTGCGGTATTAGATACGTATGATGCACGATCCTCGTAGTAGATAGCGCTATTTAAGCAATAGCGAAAATCAGACCTGAAAAAAATTTCAGATTTTTTCAGGTCTGATTTCAAATTTTTTCAGGTCTGATTTTCGCTATTGCTTAAATAGCGCTATCTACTGCGAGGATCGTGCATCATACGTATAGTTACAGTGTTTATATGTTTTTCTGTATTTCTATTGGTTTTGTAATTGGACCTTTCAGCGTCCCCAAGCGTATATAAATTAAAAGGCAAGTTTAGCGTCCCTTTAATCAGTTCTTCGTAAGTTTAGAATAGTCCTGGTAAACTAACACCCTTTCGTTTTCTCAACCTCTGGCACAAGCGGAACCGATATGTGAGTACCTTTTAACTTTATTTTTTCTAGTCTAGTCTTTTCAGTGTTGGGCGACAATGTACAAACAGATGTTCCTTTGTATTGTTGTATTCTCTATTGATTTAACATTTAAAGGCCAAATTTTGTACCAAATGCGAGTGAACGCCTACCATTCAGATAAGAACAATGGAATGTTAATCAGCCACCAAAATTCTTTTAATTTGTATCGAAACTTTTGGGGGCCAGTTTTTTACACGCGATTCTTTGATTATGTATTCCGCGACATTTCATTAGATTGATAGAACTTCGTTGTATTGTTGTTTCAGTTTACGATCGATAGTTTGATTGTGAGATTGATCATGATTTTCATCGTTCATTGTGGTTCATGGTCAATTGCCTATCAAGAATAAAGATTCGTGCAAACAGTCAACTTTGGTTTGTTATCTCGATCTGTAAAATAGTCCCCAAACACCTCGTTAACCGCGTTTTGGAGCGAAGCCCCCTTAAATTTGAGAATTTAGATTTTTGGTCGCCGCAAACGCTACATTGACATGTTCGACGAATAAAGGAAGCACGCACTAATATTTTTTGGCTGAGGATGTGGAAGACAAATGACTACACTTTTTTGCCGCAATAGTACGTAGTTTTATTGGTTACAAGGTAAAATTACACACATTCATTCTCGATCTTTCAGAAAACGATTCTTCCATCCGCTTGCACTAGGGGACCTCCTTTCTTCTTTTTGAATAATCGTTAATCAAGTCCATGAGACTTTCCTGAGTCACCACGGAATGTTTGCATTTTCGTTTCGTAGAAGATACTTTGTCACGCTGTTTTTGTTGATGAAAGTAAGGTGAATTAAGTAGCTCATTAGGGAAATTAACCCCTAATGGCTGCAAAGTCTCCACTAAGTCCAAAAAAACAAGTTTATTTGTATTGTTGATAAAAGTTAATGCCCAGCCAGTGGATCCTAACCTGCTTGCTCGTCCTACTTGATGAATGTATTCCTCAATAGAAGATGGCATGTCAAAGTTGATCACCTAAAGAGTCGGTAAAGCATTTAATGCCATTACAGATGCTATAAGTCTCGCCAATGCAACTCCTACATCCCTGACATGAATTTTACTATAAAGTACCATAATATTACTGAAAATTCAGTTCTGTCTACACTTAAGAAGGCCAACTGTAAATTTGATGCAAAAGAATGTACCACCAATCTGTATTACATGTACTTGTGAAGTAAATATAGAATGACGTTATTCAACAGTGCAAGAGTTTCCAGAATATTACTCTTTACTAGTAACAAGCTAAATACTCCAAAGAGAAGGCAGATTTCTGAGTAGGGTGGTTGTAACATCTGTATTGACCATAAAAGAAGGAATTTTAGGATAACGTCTTAAAGCACAATTTGTTAACTTCATGTTCATGACTTCTCACCTGTCGAACTTTGGAAAGATCCATTCCCCTACCCAGCAGGGAAGTGCATACAAGAACAGAACATTCACCACCAAGGAACAACTCTAAACTCTTACTCCTTTCTTGCTGTGATTTGTCTCCATGTATCGACAAGCAGTAAATTTTGCAAACCTTCACAAGAAAAAATGGTTTAGTTCACCAGGCATCTGCATTTGCTTTAGAGAAAGAAAGGGTTGGGTAACATTACAACACAAACTAGCTGTTCTCTTCTCTATACAGTACACTTCTATAACATATTTATTTGTGTATAAGCACAGGGGGCCCATACAATCTGTTTGTGTAGCCGACTGTTGTTTGAAAGTGAAAGTACCAGATTTACCGTTTGCCTCACCTATAGTGATATATTGCTGACTATGTACATAAATCATTGATAAATAAACGTTGAATTACTTTACCTGTGGTGAATAGTCGTCTTTTTGCCTCAAAAATGTTTTTTTTTTAGCGATTTTGAGTACGTCCGAGTTCGTCGTTAATGTATAATGCATAAAAGAAAGGCAAGGTCTTTCTTTTAAGCATTACATTAACGACGAACTCAGACTTATTCAGAATCGGTAAAAAAAAAATTTTTTTGAGGCAAAAGGACGACTATACACCATAGGTAAAGTAGTTCAACGTTTATTTATCAATGATTTATGTACATAGTCAGCAATATATCACTATAGGTGAGGCAAACGTCAAATCTGGTACAATCACTATAAAACAACAGTCGGCTACACAAACATATTGTATGGGCCCCCTGTGGTATAAGTCGACCCTCATTTTCAAGGTCAAAAATTGGATTTTTCATCATTTCTAGTTAAAGAAAAATTCAGACCGATAAAAATTTCCCAAATAGCTGATTTCTTATTTCTGAGAATGTATTGAAAACACGGTGAATTTAAAAAAAAATGCAGAGCAAAATATAACCGTGTGCTTTCATGATTTAAGCATCTATGAGCACTTCGATTAACTGGAGAGGTAATTTAACATACTTTGTAAACCGCTTTGAAAATGAAATCTTCATGCATTTAAATAACCTTTTGAAAGGAGATTCAGTAGACCGAAGGAACACCGAAGAGCTTCGAAGGATCGCTTGGTGAAAACACCGCCATCTTAGAAACTACAACTTTGAGGAGCACTGGTAACTAAGATAACTTCACGTGAAAAACTGACGAAACTCGAACACAATTAGTACTCGTTTTGTAAACTCGGTTTTCCTAACGGACTTCAGGCAATTGTTACGCTAATTTCTTGGATTGCTTGGGTCAGGTCTTCGTCTATGACCCGTGTTAAAGTCGAGGGTTACTTTTTTGGGCTGAATTTTCGGTCGCAAAAGGTCGACTTGTACCCGGATGAATACGGTAGTTCTCTTTGTGTGATTGATGGGATGAGGTCACTTAAACTCCTTGTAGAAGAGTACACCTCGTAAAGTAAAGAGAAAACATGGCTAAGACACAAAAAACAAAAAAAAACAAAAGAGAAAAGAAATATGTGTGCTTATTCTATAACAAAATTTCTGAATACCACCTTCTGTATTGCCTCTGCAAGCAGATCAGCTCCCATTTTAGAATTCACAAATACAACAACAGGAGGCATGAAATACTTGGGGTCTTGAAGAAGAGAAAACAAGTGTTTTTTCTTAAATTGTTCCTCTACCCACAGTACAATCTGTTTGACTGAAGCATTTGGTTCACTAGGTGAACCAACAGAGACATACACCGGATCGACAAGCAACTTGTCAGCTACAATTTCAATAGACGTTGGAACTGTTGCTGAGAACATGAGGGTCTGCTTCTCTGCTGGCAACTTGTCAATTACTTCTTGAACCTACCAGAGATGAACAAAAAAGAGAAATAATGATATGTAGAGATCTATTCTGGAGTACAGATTCAATGTTGTGAGATTTTTACCACCACACCAATGGCCAATAAGATGAGACATGATTGAATTGTTGAGAAGAAAAAACTTGGTACTGGCTGCTAACAACAAGCTGACATGAAAACTTACATTTTTTGCAACCTGTGTTTGCTCCTGTTCCAAATACTTAGTGAATTTTGACCCAAACTTCGCAAAAACAAACTTAGGTCAAAAATGTTTTTGAGCACTTGGCAAGATAACTGGAGCAGAAGGCAACAGAACCCAAAGTGAAAAAGTACTTTCTCACCAGGATATACTTGCCAACTTCCACTGGGAGCACCATTGAAAAACTGGCTAAAGATAGGCAGGGTTAGAAGGATTTTGTTGCTGCCCTATATGCCACACAGGCATGATGGGCAGTAAGTTAGTAAGTAAGTTCCACTGGGTTAAAGGGGTGATATTAAACAATGAAGTAGAGCAAGGAATTTTCTGAAGTACTCAATCATATCCAAGAACAACCAAAGATTTTGGAGCATCTGTGAGAGCATCCATTGTCTTGTTTGGGCGAAGTAACTTAATTTACATTTTCATGGACTTAAACTTTTGTTTGATAAGTTCATGTGAGCCTTAAAAATAATTATACTAAGTTACCATCAATAGATCCAATTTAACATGTAGTAAGTGAAACCATGCTAATCCTTAACCAAGGGGAGGGGTAGGGAATCTTAAGATCAAACAGTTTTAAACAGCTAATGGTATGGTAGGTGTGTGGGAAAATTTTTACCTTATGGCACTTTGCTTTTGAAAGTTTGTGCACAGTAGCTTATTGTGACAATGTCTCTAGAGATTTGGGCTTAGTCCTTTCTCACTTTATCAGTGGAAGTTGTTTTATCTGCTACAGTGTAATTTATGGTAAAAAATACACGTACCTGTTGCTCAAATCCCATCTGTAACATGATGTCCACCTCATCCAGGACGAAGACCTTGACAGAAGAAAGATCAACACCAGACTCTACATTAAGTATTTCCCTCATCCTTCCTGGGGTAGCCACAATAATCTGTACACCCGAAGAAAGGCGATGAAGCTGTGGAGGAATTGGCATTCCACCAACCAGCAATGCTGTTTTCATGTTTGGTAGGCCTTGCATCAGTTCCTTTGCTTGCTTCTCTATTTGCATGCAAAGCTCTCTTGTTGGAGACATTATCACACCAAAAGGATTGTTGGATAATCTTTTCATACTGAATGAAAACTCTGGGAAAAGAAAGTAACATGTTAAAAATCATTGTCCATTAAAACAACACTTTGTTAAGTGTTGGGTACTGATGTGAGGGATTCAAATGTGTGTGCCATCTCAAGAACAAACAAGAAATTCAAGTACTGAAGAGTGCAGCAAATTGCAAAATTTAAAATTTCAATTTTCTCAGTACAGAGTATAAGTGCATTTACTTGCCATTGAATCATGAACAAGAAGTCTCTTAACCCTTTATTTGATCAATTAAATTTCATTTTCTTAACTAAATGAAATATGTCATGTATTTGACCTGTAGAGCATAGCAAGTATTGGTAAACAAAACGATCCTTGCAGATGAACTGCGATGAAATTGCAGAAAAGAACCCAAAAGGCAACACAAACACGATAGATAAAAAAGGTACAATTAAGTGAAAGAATAAGGCTTTAAGTTCATCAGTTCAAGAAAACAAGAGGGAAGTCATTGGGGTAGGTTATACAAGTTAGATAAGAAAAGCACACACAATAGACAAAATGAGTATAACCTTCCCAAGAAAAACAAGTTACACGCTTGGAACACAATCAATTATTTTAACGAAAGAAATACTGCATCAAAAGTGTATATGAAGTGGTCCCTTGATTTGGAAAATCTTAAATTAGGGGTAGTTTGATTTGGATTGTATGTGCCTCGAATGCATTACCATAATCTGTAGGAGTAGCTGGAAAGTGATATTCTGGCTCACTAGCATTCATACTTGCTTCTCTTACCAAGGCCCAATATCTTACTGGTGCCTCGATAATTCAACTGGAGACAAATCAACCAATTTAAGAAACTAAGAATTCTTAAGAGTATACTGGACCTCAACAAAATTGTCACAAATTGTAAGAATTCCAAGGGTAGAGGTCAATAAAATATTACACATTTAAAGGAGCACTCTTATGAAACCTCCCTGTAATTTGGAAACCCGAAAAATCCAAATATTTTTACATAAAAAGTTGATTATGGTATCACTGTGACAATGCAATGCAGTCTGGGTTTTTGGAGCTCCGCGATTTTACTGCTTTCCTTTCTGCCTGGTGTTTTGTTCGGTGGCCTACACACTCCTTCATCATGTATAAGCTCACTGGGCTTATGTCGGAACACCTTTATCACAGGAGCATCCGTTTACAAAGCCAAAATCTTAAACTCTTTCTTCAACAAGAGTTTATCAGATTCATTTGATCATGATGCCCTGAGACGTATTTGCATAATCCAAAACAGCTTTCTCTCCTGGGACCAGCCTTTGTTCTTCGACAAGATCATTATCAGTCATGATAAATATACAGTAATTTCAATGTGTGGAAAAACAACAATTCCTGTCTCAAGATCTCCCAAGTGCAGCTGTGGTCGCGTTGCTTATTACTCCAACTTCGTGGCAACAATGCAGATTATTTTACTTTCTGGGGATATTGAAACAAACCCTGGCCATCGAGAAATTACCTTAAACAGGTCCTCAGGCAATTCTATGCAATCCGACAACTTCAAAGTTGACAAAATCTGCCAAAAGTATTCATCTTGGATGATTTGTCTAAATTGTCGCAGTTTAGTACCCATTATGGATGAGCTGAGACTCATATTTCAACACAATAGACCATCTCTCATTTCTCTCACAGAAACTTGGTTAAATAGTTCAGTCGGCGATCATGAACTTACATTAACAGGCTACCAACTGATACGGCGTGACCGCGAGGAACGTTGAGGCAGTGGTGTGGCTGTTTATGTTCTGGATGGAATTAGGTTCAGGAGACGGCATGAAATCGAAGAAAAGGGTTTTGAAGTCTTATGGATTGAAACAAAAATACGCAACACCATCTACGTTATAGGCTGTGGTTACAGAGCTCCAAATTTTTCACCATCAGAGTATTTTAATTATTTGGTCAGAAACAAGATCAGAAACAAGAACCGGAAAGGAAGTAATAATCACTGGCGATCTAAACTGCAATCTTAATGACCTCGACTGCTCACAAATGAAGTGTGCCATCGCATTTTTGGAGTCTAACAGCTTGTCGCAGTTAATATCAGAAAGTACCAGACACTCTCCGACTGGCTCTTCTCTCATCGATCTCTTGATAACTTCAACCCCCGAAATCTTCTCTCGCTCTGGAGTACTACAAACGACCTGGAGTGATCATCAACTGGTTTATGGTGTTATACCAAAAATTATCGCTCCACAAATCCAAAACTTCGTAACATCCCGTAAATGGAGCGAAAAGAAGACCTCCAGTTTCTTAGCTGACTTGAAGTCAAGTATACCTTGGAGTGAGATGAAAGCTACAGATGATATGGATCAGAAAATAGATATAAAATTATGGACTTCTTATTTTAAGAGTGCCCTCAATAAACACTTTCCTATACACAGAAAACGGATGCGACAGAAATCTCATCCCTGGCTTGACAGATCTGTTTTGCAGCTCATGACGAGACGTAATCAGGTTTATTGTTGAGCTTGAACATCTGGTGATCAGGAAATATGGTACTTGTATAAACAACTGAGAAATCGTGTCACCAGTTGTCTTCGAAAACAAAGAAAGGATTACTTTAAAGACCATCTTACCCAAAACAAAGGAAACCCAAAGAATTTTTGGAAAACCTTAAAAGTTGGTGTTACAAGGGAAACAGAAGTCATCACAAATTGAGAAGTTGGTGGTTAAAAATTCCACTCTGACAGAACCCAAGTTAATTGCCGATGGTCTTAACCAATACTTTAAAGGTATAGCGAAAGCTGTCCTCACAGATTCTGGCAGAGAAAATAATGCCTCTGTAGGTGGTAATGTAAACATACATATCCATCAAGAAAACCAGCTTCAAGAATCGTTTGTGTTCAAATCAGTATCCAATGAACAAGCCTACAAAGCGCTATGTTCACTTAAAAACGGGAAGGAGACTGGAGCGGATGGTATTCCAGTTTAAGCTTTAAAACTAGCGTCGGGGTATATTACGCCAAGTATAGCCTACTTGTGTAATGAATCCTTCCATCTCGGGGTATATCCATCTTCATGGAAGGTTGCTCGTGTTACACAACTCTTCAAAGGTGGCGACGCATCTGATTACGATAACTATCGTCCCATCTCTGTATTGCCTTGCATATCCAAGATCCACAAGAGCTTTGCTAACTCACAACTTCAAGAATTTGTGGCAGAAACAGATCTTATCAGTAAAAACCAGTTTGCCTACAAGAGACACACATCATGTAATGTCACACTATTACTCATCATCGATCAGTGGAAACAAGCTATTGATAATAAATACCTAACTGTAGCTGTATTTTTGGACGCACAAAGTGTTTGATGTAATTAACCACGAGATATTACTCTCAAAGCTAAAAATTGCTGGTGTAACTGAAATTACACATAAGTGGTTTGAGAGTTAACTAGAATACTGTAAACAGTATGTTGTCTGTAAGGGCTCAAGCTTAGATATTCTGAACTTACGTTATGGAGTGCTGCAGGGTTCTGTACTGGGACCATCCCTTTCCTCAATTCATTATGACAGTGTGAAATCAGCTGTAGAATTTTCTAACTGTACACTTTACGCTGACGACACAGAAATTCACTCAAGTGACCCAAGCGCTATTCACGCCACAAATTGTGTTAATAAAGACCTGAAGAATGTTAGTAATTGGCTGACACAGAACCAAATGGTACCACATCCTGGCAAATCTGTGGCAATGAAGATTGGTTCACGTCCTGCTTTATGACGATCAGATGACATCGACATCCGCTTTGACGATCACCATCTTAAGGAAGTTAGCACAGTTAAGTACTTGGGTATCCACATTGATAGTGCACTCACATGGATGCAACATCAGGATTATATATGCAAAAATATATGTCCAAAGCTTCGCCTGCTTAACAGACTCTCTCTTTTTCTATCTAGAGAAGTGTTATTAAAGATCTACAAGCAGACCCTACTACCTATCCTTGATTATGGCTCTATCGTGTGGCTTGACTGCCCAAAAGTAATGGCGGATAGGTTGGAAAGACTACAGAATCAAGCTCTTCATACAATACTTAAGGCAGACAGAAGAATTTGTTCCCAAGTGATGCATGAGAAATGTGGTATACTGCCGTTAAGAAACCGTAGGCAATTTCTTTGCTTTCAACTTATTTTTTAAAATTGTGTACAACTACAAAATTAATGTCCCGAACATTGGGTTTCTAATTTGCCAAAACACTCGAGCCTTCCAACAAGAACACTGAGAGATGAACACCTTTTAAATCTTCCATAAAAAAACCGCATGTGGACAAAGTAGTTTCAAGTTTTCTGCTGCAAAGGACAGGAACAGCCTTCCTCTACACCTAAGGAAAATTAGTGACTTTAATTTATTCAAATAAAATATTTATAATTTTTTATTACAATGTGATAAGTGCGCTCATCATTGTTCTGTTCAATGGTATCTAATNNNATATATATATATATATATATATATATATATATATATATATATATATATATATATAACTAACTGCAGACAGTACTGTTTCGGCCTTCTGGGCCTCATCAGTGCAGTGCTAATGCTAGGATGGGGGAGAACCGAGACGGTCACCCCAAACGACCCAACCTTTGTGGTATCGTCTAAGCCATGCCAGAGTGCTCAAACTAGAGTAAACCAGCGAGCATGCGCAATTGCAACGGCAATGACTCATCCTAGATAGAGTGCTCAATTTGGACATGAAAGCAAAGCTTTGTATGCCAAAGAGCTATATCTAACTGCAGACAGTACTGTTTCGGCCTTCTGGGCCTCATCAGTGCAGTGCTAATGCTAGGATGGGGGAGAACCGAGACGGTCACCCCAAACGACCCAACCTTTGTGGTATCGTCTAAGCCATGCCAGAGTGCTCAAACTAGAGTAAACCAGCGAGCATGCGCAATTGCAACGGCAATGACTCATCCTAGATAGAGTGCTCAATTTGGACATGAAAGCAAAGCTTTGTATGCCAAAGAGCTATATCTAACTGCAGACAGTACTGTTTCGGCCTTCTG